CTTCATACGTTCAGCAGCATCTTTCCGAATTTTCGACCTACGTTCATTAAACGAAGTCTTGTTAAGAATTAAATTATCAGTATCTACTAATCCCTTAAAATCACGTTACTATTTACACGCGCAGAACGGGAATATTTATTTCCTACGTTACTCCGAACTAATTAAAACAATTGCCAATTCAACGTTTTGCTTTAAATATTAAGACATTCCTTGAGCCCATTGCTGTCACGTTATACTGATGCATAAATATTGTAGGGTCGCCACCCTTCGTGCTGCATGCGCAGTGCACGCTCTTTTTGGCACACATCCACACATCGACGCTCTTCCTGTGCTCAGCTACCCATGATCTATATTGGCCGATCATTTGCTAAAGAGATTTGATGATATACAGTCGCGTTAGGTAACAGGCTGCATGTGAGTTTGGTTCACCAGTTACTTTTGATTTGATATAGCGCTGCTTTTCAAGAAAAAATATTCCGTGGACGTAAGGCATCCAATGAGAGCGTAGTGCCGCTGTGAAAGCGTGAAGTATCGTTGCATAGAGTAATTAGCTGTGTGATTGAAATGCAGACACTGATACGCCACATCTTCAATTACTCATTGGCACACACGTACAAAGGAGTGGTACCCAAATGCAAGCTTAGCTGGAAATCCATAAGGCAGTTGAAATTAATATTCTCCAATTAAAGAAAAGTGATGTTGAAGAGCCGGCTAACGCATATTCTCCAAAAGCTTAAGTATATTAGTTTGTTATTTTTCCCCATTTTTTATCAAACCGACGATTTTAAAGCTAATTCAATTGTGTTTTTTTGTCAAGTGCATTGCAATAAGGGCAACGTATGGATACGGTGACCATATTAACCAATGTAAAATAAAGGACATTTTTTTTTCAAAATTATTTGGGAATACGTGCATACAACTTGTATGATAAAAGTACCTTACCCATATCGTAATTTAAATCAAATATTTACCAGTTAATTAACCGATTCCCGAAAATGAAGCCAAATCCTTTTCAAGGACTTCGTCATCCTTTGCTGCCAAAATACATTTACCGAAGTCAGCACACAGTGGTTTAAAGTTGGAATTTAATGTTCATAATTCACCGCAGTCTTCAAAAACAAAAAAATTTTTGTGAACCTTTTTTATAACATTTCAAACATTTTTTGTAATTTTTTCGTTTTGGGGAACCACACAATTGTTTTTAACTAGTCTTTGTTATGTAACATTTATAACTAATGTATTCTCCATTTTCGTCAAATTGCCACTTTTTCAGCATTTTGCACTAAAAAAATTATTATAATCAAATAAAAATTCACAAACCAGGCTCAACTGGTATCTTGCAAATATTACAAGCTTTAATAAAAAAGTATCAAATTAAGTGAAAAAATTAAGGCTCCAGTGAATTACGAACACTAAATGCCAGTTTAGAACCACTGTGCGTCAGGGCGTTTATTGTTCTCTTTCAGTGGAACTGGAAACTCAGCGTGCAACACGATCCCGGGCAAAACTTTCCCCGTGCTTTATAGATTGTGCAAAGATTACCTATTAAATAAAAACCCTTAAGTGGGGTACGACACAAACTGACGAAGGTTTTCATTATATTTTATAAGGAACGTTTTTATTTTTCATATTCTGAAAAATTTACCTCTGAAAAATGCAGAGCTGATTTAAGGGACAGTTTAAGAAATAAAGGACAAAACGCGTCCTTTATTTAAAAAAAAAAAATATAAAGGACATGGGGTTAAAATAAAGGACTGTCCTTTAAAATAAAGGGCGGATGGTCACCGTACGTATGGAAAACAAATTACTACTATGAAGGAGCTGACGATTTTGTTCATAAGAAACACACCGGAGTCATCAATTGTATGTTTCGTGAATTCGTTCGCTAAACTTGCTAATCTTCGACCGCTTGCATCTCATTCTGAAGCGGAGTAGTTCGCTACTTCTGCAATTTTAATTGTGAATTCAGATTTGAGGATGGTCCCTTTTGTGTGACCAGATCAACTCGGAAAACTATCACAAATTATCTAAAAAAAAGTTAGACATGGAATCCCTCCTATTACCTAGAAGTGGAATGTTATGCTAAAAGGAAGTGGAATATAATAAAGGCATATGAAGGGTAGTTTATGAGGTGGTGGTTGGCTCCGAGTTTCCATCGTTGTATGGCGGGAGTAGAACCAACTTCACTAGAGTTCTAGTAACTTGACCTTTCTCCGTCAGGATGTCCACTACGCGCACTCTGCCATCGGTACCGGGGTGTAAGTTGACTACTCGCCCTAACCTCCATTCAGTTGGGGGTAGATTGTCTTCCCTGATAACCACAAGATCACCTGTTTTCATATTCTCCTTAGGGTGCTTCCATTTAATTCGCTTTTGTAGTTCGGCTAAGTACTCCACTTTCCATCGCCTGCAAAACGTCTGATGCAGTGCTTTTAGTTTTTGCCATCGATTGACGATGGACTCAGGATTCTCATTCACATCAGGTTCTGGCGGAGCCATAAGATGTCCACCAGTGAGAAAATGGCCTGGAGTAAGCGGCTACAGATCATTTGGCTCATTTGAAGAGGGACTCAGTGGTCGCGAATTGAGGCATGCCTCAATCCGGCATAAAAGCGTACTGAGCTCTTCAAAGGTGTATTTTTGAGCGGACGCCAACTTTTTAAAGTGGCGTTTAAAGCTTTTTACACCTGCCTCCCAGAGTCCTCCCATGTGAGGAGCGGAAGCAGGTACAAAATGACATGTAAGTGTTTGATGGTTGTATTTGGAAGTCGTTTTGTCTCGCGCGTCAGACAAGAAAGCTTTGAATTCAGATCGTAAAGATCGTCAAGCTCCGACAAAGTTTGTACCATTGTCGGAGTAGACATTTTTCGGACATCCTCTTCTAGCTACGAACCGAGCGAATGCTGCTAGAAAGGATGGGGTGCTAAGATCACTGGTAGCTTCTAAGTGAATCGCTTTAGTAGTGAAACAAACGAAGAGGCAAACATATTCTTTGGATATTCGACAACCTCTGCCGCGGTAGCTTTTGATGTCAAAAGGTCTGGTAAACGTCTGAGATCGTTTTTTGTAGATGATACAAATTTTACAATTATGGATGGTAGACCTTATCATGTTTTTTACCCTGGGAATCCAGTACTGGGTAGGGATAAGGCGTAGCATGAGTTGATTTTCTCCGTGTAAGGAGATTTGGTGAATCAACAGGACTATAACAACAGACGAGACAATCTGCAGTTATACGGGATAATGATTGGGTGGCGCTCATTATATGCTAAGTCCTGGGTTGCTCCGAGGCGACCTCCAGCCCTGATGATGCCGTGCTTGTCGACGAACGGATTAAGCGGAAGGATTTCACTCTTTGCATCGATGGGTTTTCTAGTTTTCAAATTCGTATATTCTTCACCGTAGTATTGCTTCTGGTAGATTTTTATCAAGAGCTGTGTCGTTGTCTTAATTTCATCTGATGAAATTAAACAAAAATTTTCCTGAAATGAAGCTTTTGTTTTCGGGTGAGTTCTTCGGTTGAATCTCATAACAAATGATAACACTCTCAAAGCTCTCGGTAGAGTTGTCTTCTTGCAACCAAGAAGGTCCCTGCCACCACAAAAAATTTGAGACCAATTCCGAAGCAGGTAGTCCTCTGCTAGACAAATCGGCTAGATTCGAAGCCGAGTTTACATGAAACCAGTCCTTATTACCGACTTTTTCTACGATTTTCGTTATTCGGTGTGCGACGAAGGTTGACTAAGAACAAGGCGGCTTTCATATCCAAGCGAGTACGATGGTCGAGTCCGTCCAAAGATATGTTTTCACTTGGCCTAGGTTGAGGTTGTTGATTATGGATTCTATAATTTCCGCGAGCAGCACGGCTCCGTAAGGTTATAGTCGTGGTAGCGAGATGGTTTTGACAGGAGCTACTTTGGTTTTTGCCAAAAGAAGGTTTACCAAAACTTTGTCATCTCTTTTGACGCGCATGTATGCCGTAGCCGCATATGCTTTTTCTGATGCGTCGCAGGAACCCTGTATCTCGATGTCATCTCCTGGTGAGAAGTGTACCCATCGAGGTATTCTAATATTGTCTATTTCATGGTAATGTTTGGTAAAATTCTGCCAGCGTTCCAAAGTAGTAGAAGACACAGTCTCATCCCAGTCTGTGCCTTCTAGCCGAATACTCTGCATAATTATTTTTGCTACGACGACTATTGGAGCAAGCCATCCTAGCGGATCAAATAGCTTGGCGATAGCTTATAGTATCGCCCTTTTTGTAAGTGTATCGCGGTCCTCCAATGGTCTTGTAATGAAATAGAAAAGATCCGAATGGGCATTGCATCTTATGCCAAGAGCCTTAACCGTGCTGTTATCTTTGAATGCCAAAAAGTCTTCACTGAGTAGATCCGTTTTTTGGATGTCCTTGAGAATTTCCGCACAGTTTGAGGTCCATTTCCTTAGCGGAAAACCGGCTGACCGTAGCACTTCAGAGATTTCATCTCTTGCTTTTACGGTAGAGTCGATGCTGTGTCCTCCAGCTAGCACGTCATCCACATACATGCATTTTCGTAGTATGTAAGATTAGGGTGTCCGTTATTTCCCAAGTTGATTTTTTTTTTCGCTGCCGCCCCCTGAAGTTCTAGTTTTTGTCCTAAAAAAAATTATCCAATCTAAATAAGCTCTTAATTTTCAATTTAAATCGTGCCAAAATCCTGTTACTTTTCCCATTAAAATATCATGGGATTTTTTTACTTTTTGCATTTAATTTTTTTTCTCCAAAATAAATGGACTTCTAACCTTGACAAAGACATAATCTAATACAAAATTTTGCGCTCTACAAAAAAGGTTTCATTGGTTTTTCGATAAAAATATTCCTTAAAAAGTTATACGCGGTTAAAGTTATGCACATAGCTTATAATCGTAATTATTTCAGTTTTATTGAATTTTTCTGTAATATAATCATTGAACTCATGAAAATTGTCATACAATTTTATTGACCAATCTTTTCAGTGACAATAACGGAAACAATGCATTACAACTAATATTACGATGTATTATTAATATTTTTTTGTCTTTTTAATCACGTTTCGTTGTTAAGCAGCTTTTTGTAGCGTTATGGTAAGTATCCTTGTATTCACGTACAACTTGTATTAAATAATGTTTTTGGTCTTCTTTAGTAGTCAAAATATTGATGTAATCTTGAGTCAACTGAACTGCTCTCTCAGCTACATCATTAATAACTTGCAGATTATTTACAATATCCAAACCTTCTAAGTAATCATCATTAGTTGACCATTTTTCAACATCACACTCTAAAAATTTTTTATTTATGTTGAATGGATCAAAATATTTACTCGAATTAGAATTAATAAAAAAGTAAATATCTCTTTTTTGTAAATTGATAATTTCACTGTCTGAATTCACTACGTAGCGTTTAGGGTAATCAAAATCCATATCTTCATGGCATTTTAATGCTTCAATCATTTTATGTTTCATAAAAATCGGTATATTCGGATCGAAAAAAGCCAGAGCAGCAGCTTCAGCATTCAAATACCACAAATGATTTTTGAATTTGTGCAAGACTGCTTCAGAAAGTTTCTTATCAATCGTCTTGTATTGATGTACAGTTTTTACAAAATTCAAGTCTTGATATGGAGCCGATGCTGCAAGAGGTGCCGTAAACCTAAATGGCACGTAAACAAATACTATGAATAAACAAATATCCAAAAGACTTTGTTGCAGTGCTCGATCTACCTCAAAAATGTCCCGGAAAATGTATATTTTCAGCGAATAGATCGCTTTTGACATCCAGCGGACATGGTGAAATGCTCCTGGTTTATAAAATTTCACACTATCAGCTTCCATCGTGCCAAGAAAAATTTGACACAACTCCAAAAGCTCTTTATAATCATCGCGAGGCAGAATTTCACTTAGAAAGTTTTTGATCGTTTCATTTGTTTTTTCAACTTTTGCTAACAGTTTTTTAGGAATTTTATTTCTTGTAAGACCGTTATTATATTTAGTTTGATCAATTACATTCCAAGTTTCCTGAAATTGTTTAAACAGAGGAACGTTTGGCCCATCAGTTCCCGGAAATTTTGTCACAAAAACAAAATTTAAGACCAATTCGTAGATGTGATGTCTACAAGGTAAATACAGAAGATCTTTTTGTAAAAACTGCTCTAAATTGGTTGCTGCTCCATTTCGACAAACAAGATTTGGATATTGTCAGATAATACCCATTCTTGTACACTCTTGAAAATTTCCTGAGCCTGAGTTATTCCTCTTCCAACCGGTAATGCCGGTACGTTTAATATTTTTTCAACGGTCATGCTTCGAATTATTATATGTAGGCACTCGGTCAACCTTTTTACTAGATAGTCCATCTGGTATTAATTTTCCATCCCAATGAACCACCGCAGCTCCAACCTCAGTGTCACCAAATAACTTCTTCATACGTTCAGCAGCATCTTTCCGAATTTTCGACCTACGTTCATTAAACGAAGTCTTGTTAAGAATTAAATTATCAGTATCTACTCTAAGGGCCATCGCGACAGCTGATATTATTCTTACGGAATTTCTATAAGAAATCTTACAATTGTCGAATGTAGCAACAACATGTTCCGTCAGAAAATTTATTGTTCCTCTCTCATTTTTCATTTGATAATTTCGCCCCTGTGCCTCAAACATTAAAGATGTGCTTTGCAAAAAGGCCGATGTTTCGCCACTTAATGGTTGCTCCGATGTACTTTTTGCGCTCGGCGGTAGAGTTATGTCTAAAAATTGAAAACAAAAAAATAGATATAGTGAGTTTTGTTTCATTAAGTCAATTATTCATTACACTTTTCATAAAATAGAATTTTCATACATAAAATAATTTAATTTATCAAGAGGTACACCAAGCACATGAATTAATTACCACAATCTGAACGATTGTTATCCGAGAGTGTTAAGTCGATATTATCAGTAGCTCGTTTCTGTAACAATTCTCTACCAAGGCGAATTGAGATATGAATTCGCCGCCCTGTAATCTACTGCTAATTAGTAGGTGAGAGTGACATATTTTCTCTACCAGTAGAGAAATAATCGGTAGAGAAAAGTTACAGAAACGGGCTACAGATGTTGATCGAGCTTTATCAATAGGTTGAGATGTAGTAGAATCAATATCTTCCTCAAAAACAAGTTTTTCTAAATTTAATAACAAAATTAGTGGTCTACAAGAAATTCTAATTTTCAATCATTGCAATTATTAATCATCAACATACCAGGTAACTTAAAAGATTATCATTTTTGTTAAAAGCACGTAAGTGATCCTTTTTGCTGTCCTTTGATTAGGGATGTTGCGAATGTGGAATTTTAGACATCCGCGGATGCGGATGTTTAAAAGCTAACATCCGCGGATGCGGAAGCGAATGCGGATGTCAAGTATTTTTATTAATACCTCGCTTTTATTAGCTCGGGATGTAACTATGTAATATTGATGCGCCTAAAAGATGCAGCGATTTCCATTCTCAAGTTACATACCTGATGACCGTACCCTGTGGGGAAAATCTCTAGTTCTGAACTGGGGCGCTTCTAGTACATTTAGACCCAGTACTGGTTCGCGACAAATCTCTTTTGCATGCAAGCAACTGGCGAATTTAACATGGCGATGTCCTAGGAAGTGTCAATTGCCGCCCGCTGCATCCCTTTTTCGATAGTTCCGAACTAGTCCTAAATTCTATAGTTCCGAACCAGTTCTAAAATCGACAGACGAAAGAAAAAAGTATCATGATTTTTCAATCTTTTCGGTTCTTCCGTGTGTGATTTTACATTATTTTCAAAGAAACATTTTTTCAAATTTGAAATTAAATTTGTTTGANTTGTGCTTACTTTTGTTTTTAAATACTCTTCAAAACTGTGATAAAACTGAGGAAATGGAGCAAGGTATGGTTCCAACGGGGAGCATATAGGATCAAATGTGTCCGCGCTAATAACCACTAGGGAGCATAGATGCGAAAGTAAAACATTGAGTTCATTAAAAATCTTCATTGGGTCTGCATTATTGCTTTCGAACAACTTGTTTACTTTTTGCACCTGAAAATTAGGCAAATAGTAAAATCGGCTAAAAACGGCTAACTTTTTTTTACAAACCGGCTAACAAATCGGCTGCCGGCTAGATCGAATTTTCTCCGGCTGGTTGCTATCAAAACCGGCTAAATCTAGCCGGAAAACGGCTAAAATGGCAACGCTGCTGAGGACAGTACGAATGGAAATTTTAATAGCGAGGTTTTAATTTTTTAAACTATAATTTTATTAAGAAATAATTTAGGTGATTTAATAATAACTAGTATCACCCCGTTGTCGAAATTCGACCACCTCACTTTTTTACACAATTTTTCATTTTGCTTGGGAAGTTTTTATGTCCATCATCACCTGTTGATCGTCTAGGTCTCTTATATTTTTTGGTGGAGTAATATACATTATGTTAAATAATTTTGAAATTCATAGCAGCAGTAGGGAGGAACAGATTTGTATGGGATTTCGTTAGCGTATTAATATATAGATAATAATAGATTGGCGCTTACCCATATGGTAGTGTTTGGCCGAGCTGTCGGCCGCTATGGTGTAGTGGTAAACAGTGCGCGCTTCAACTCCGAAACGCCTGGGTTCAAACCCTGGTCAAAGCAACATCGCCAAAAAATATAGAAAAAAGGTGTTTTCTTAACAGCGGTCGTCCCTCGGCAGGCAATAGCAAACCTCCGAGTGTATTTCTGCCATGAAAAAAAGCTTCTCATAAAAATTTAATCGCCGTTCGGAGTCGGCATAAAATTGTAGGCCCCTCCCCTTTGTGTGACAGCATCAAGGCGCACGCCACAAATTGGAGGAGAAGCTCGGGCAAATTAGGTGATTTAGGTAAATAAAAAATTGAAAGGTTAGACATTTTTTATAATGTTTTTTTAGTGCTTGAATTTAAAAATTGGAACTTTGTATTCAATAAAAACTTGTTATTAAAAAGTAATGTTGCCTTTTCGGGTTACAGTCTGTTTCTTAAAGGGTCGTAAATCAAGTCTGCGCCACTAAATAACTACTCGTTCGAGGCGACAAACTTGATAAAACTTGAAGCTTGACAAAATTGTAAATTATTTTCGATTGACGCTGCACCAGTTGAGAGGACTTTCAGTTATATTAATTTTTTTATTGCGGTGCAATAATTCCCTTTTTAGAATTGCATCGGGAATGCAAATGTCGGATGTATCCTCCTGACTTTCATCTTCACAATCTAGCATCGTTGTTTAAACACCGCTGTTTTCCAAAGAATTCTTCATTCTCATTCTTTTGGTTCTTTCTGAATTTGGAGAGCCTGTAACGTCATCGACGTTTTTCGATTTTAGTTTTTGTAATTCATTTTTAATCTGTTCTTCTGCACTTGCACAATATTCCAGGGACCAAAAGTAACAGTTATATTTTTTCAGGAGTTAAACTTGGCCAAATATTTTTGATTCCGAAATAAAAGTCCTTTCCGGATAATAAGCAAACCACTCGTCCAAATTAAACACGTTTGGTATCATATGAAAGAGGACTGATATAGCTTTTAAACAGAAATAAGGAACCAACGTGACCACCTCTATTTATATTTTTTTATAATTTCTATGGTAATTAGTTAACATATTTAATTGAAATATTTTTCAATAGGTGGCTTTTCTCGTTTAGAAGTATCAGTTTTAAAACTATTTAGGTCCTCTTTCATTTGATACCAAACTTGTTTAATTTGGATAAGCGGTTTGTTTATTACCCGGAAAGGACTTTTATTTTGGAATAAAAAATATTTGGCCAAGTTTCACTCGTTAAAAAAATAACTGTTATTTTCGGTCCCTTCAATAGTCGCATTCGCAAAAGATTATTGCGAATGCGAAAGCGAATGCGAATGTTAAATTTAATGCGGAAGCTCCGCGGTTGCGAATGCGAATACGAATATTCGCAACAACCCTGCCTTTGATAATGTAAAAAATCTGCCGTGAAACTATCAACTGTATTTTGAGTATCACCATGAGCAATATCAAATAATTTTTCAAGACATTCGGAAAACTCAAGCTCGCGCCCTTGATTTGAGCTTTTTTGTAAATATCTGTACGAGGTATAGAGTTTTTCTAATTTTTTCACACATCGATCTTTTTTTGTACTGGAATCCCAGCTCTGCTCCAAAATTTGCACACTTCTTCTAGAACTATTAAGTAACTGGCTGCAAGTGTTTTTTTTTATTGTCTGGTATGATAATATAATAATTTCAGAACTTGTTTATTGATTGGTAACTTATCTCCGCTAATCGTGTCACTCGTTTTACCCAAAAGAAACACTTGATCACGTAAAGTCATCGATTGAGTCATTTTCAATAAATTAATTTCAAGTTAAATAAGGATTTAATTATGTAAGTTATAATTCCGTAGGCTGAGCGTAAGTGGTAAAGGATAGAGTCGAATAATTTGTTAATTCAATAAATCTTTTGATTGAATCCAATACTTTTTATCACGTATAAATGTATCAAAATAAAATCACTACATAACTTATCTTGATACAAGTTATATTTAATAGAAAAAACTACTCTAAATTTGCTTATTCTTTTTAATTGAAACGCACGTTTACGAACACTGAAAGACAATGAAACAATAACCTTAAACTATAATTTTGTGCTGTTGATCATAGATGGTGCAATATTAGTGTTCCATATTAAAGTTGGCAGAGAAATACTTATCGTTTTATCGAATATATGAATCTAGATTCTCTTTCAGTCAAAATCAAAAAGCGCAATTACAATTTGCAGTGAATGATAGAAAAATTTGATTATAAGCTATGTGCATAACTTTAACCGCGTATAAATTTTTAAGGAATATTTTTATCGAAAAAACCAACGAGACCTTTTTTGTAGAGCGCAAAATTTTGTACTAGAATATGTCTTTGTCAAGGTTAGAAGTCTATTTATTTTGGAGATAAAAAATTAAATGCAAAAAGTAAAATAATCCCATGTTATTTTAATGGGAAAAGTGACAAGATTTTGGCATGATTTAAATTGAAAATTAAGAGCTAATTTAGATTGGATAATTTTTTTTGGGACAAAAACCAAAACTTCAGGGGGCGGCAGCGAAAAAAAAATCAACTTGGGAAATAACGGACACCCTAATCTTAGATGCTATTGGGGAAGAACTTTCTACATCGTCAGCCAGTTGTAAAATGGTCCTTATCGCGGGGTGAGGAGCACAATTAATCCCGAAAGTGACAGTCTTTAATACGTATAGACTTACAGGTTCGTTCGGGTTTGTACGGAAAACTATCCGCTGATATTTGGTATGGTTGCTATCCACCCAAATTTGTCGGTACATCTTCTCGATGTCACTATTAAAAACGTATCTGTATAACCTCCAGCGGAGTATAAGGATCGGAAGATCTGCTTAGCGAACTGGACCTGGGAGAAGTACATCGTTCAGACTTGTGCCATTAGCCGTTGAACAGCGTGGTGAGGCAAAAAGTAGTTATCAGTAGTTANAACGTATCTGTATAACCTCCAGCGGAGTATAAGGATCGGAAGATCTGCTTGGAGAACTGGACCTGGGAGAAGTACATCGTTCAGACTTGTGCCATTAGCCGTTGGACTTGAGGCATTAAAGACGACTCGAACTTTGGTGGAGGTACTTTCTGCCTTTATGACAGCGTGGTGAGGCAGAAAGTAGTTATCGGAAGAGTCTGCTGAAATACTATCATTTATTCTGGACATGTGTCCTAGTGATTCATATTCAGCTAGTACCCTATTATACTCTTTTTGTAGGATGGTATCCTTTGCAAGCCGTGTCTCATTCCGGAAGAACTGAGAGCATGCTTTTTTAAGAGAAGGGCCTAGGCAGATGTTTGCGGGAAATTCCTGCCTAAATGGTAGCGAGACTACGTATTTTCCGTCTTCTCGTCTACGAGTTGTCTTCCGATAAAGTTCATCACAGTATTTGTCGTCCTCGTTCAAGCTTTTGTTTTTTGGTATGTCTTCTAGTTCCCAGAATGCAGTAAGTTGTTTGTCCAAGGCAACTTCACTGTGATACGAAACTATATTGTTGGTTGGATTGGGTGCATCTGTGCAACCGGTTAATATCCAACCGAACACGGTTTCTTGGGCGAGAAGTGTACTGAGTACATTTTTCTTCAGGCCGCATAAAATAATTTGGGGATAAATATCTCCGCCAAGTACGAGGTCTACTTCTTCATTAACGTAGAACCGTTTATCAGCTAGAACAAGACCTGGAAATGTCTGCATAGTCATGGCGCTGATATGACAGGATGGTAGATTTCCGGTTAGTTTTGTTAGGACGAGCACCGTTGCATGCAGGCTGAACAATGGATCAACTGGGGATCGAAGTTCTATGCTGCATGCCTCTTTGACCTGCGCAGAGGTTGCATTCGTAATGCCCGAGACTTGGGCATGCATCCTCTTAGCTGGCAGGTTGATTCTGCGTTTGAGTCGTTCTGTTATGAACGAACACCTCAGAACCAGAATGAATAAGTGCTCGAGCAGTAAAATCTGTGCCATNGAACTGGACCTGGGAGAAGTACATCGTTCAGACTTGTGCCATTAGCCGTTGAACAGCGTGGTGAGGCAAAAAGTAGTTATCAGTAGTTATCTGGACATGTGTCCTAGTGATTCATATTCAGCTAGTACCCTATTATACTCTTTTTGTAGGACGGTATCCTTTGCAAGCCGTGTCTCATTCCGGAAGAACTGAGAGCATGCTTTTTTAAGAGAAGGGCCTAGGCAGATATTTGCGGAAAATGCCTGCCTAAATGGTAGCGAGACTACGTATTTTCCGTCTTCTCGTCTACGAGTTGTCTTCCGATAAAGTTCATCACAGTATTTGTCGTCTTCGTTCAATCTTTTGTTTTTTGATATGTCTTCTAGTTCCCAGAATGCGGTATGCTTGTCCAAAGCAACTTCACTGTGATACGAAACTATATTGTTGGTTGGATTGGGTGCATCTGTGCAAATGGTTAATATCCACCCGAACACGGTTTCTTGGGCGAGAAGTGTACTGAGTACAATTTTCTTCAGGCCGCATAAAATAGTTTGGGGATAAATATCTCCGCCAAGTACGAGGTCTACGTCTTCATTAACGTAGAACCGTTTATCAGCTAGAACAAGACCTGGAAATGCCTGCATAGTCATGGCGCTGATATGACAGGATGGTAGATTTCCAGTTAGTTTTGTTAGGACGAGCACCGTTGCATGCAGGCTGAACAATGGATCAACTGGGTATCGAAGTTCTATGCTGCATGCCTCTTTGACCTGCGCAGAGGTTGCATTCGTAACGCCCGAGACTTGGGCATGCATCCTCTTAGCTGGCAGGTTGATTCTGCGTTTGAGTCGTTCTGTTATGAACGAACACCTCAGAACCAGAATGAATAAGTGCTCGAGCAGTAAAATCTGTGCCATTGAGACGTATATTTACGCGAGCTGTTCCTAGGAGCACACCTGAATTCGTTTAGCATAACAATNTGAGGCAAAAAGTAGTTATCAGTAGTTATCTGGACATGTGTCCTAGTGATTCATATTCAGCTAGTACCCTATTATACTCTTTTTGTAGGACGGTATCCTTTGCAAGCCGTGTCTCATTCCGGAAGAACTGAGAGCATGCTTTTTTAAGAGAAGGGCCTAGGCAGATATTTGCGGAAAATGCCTGCCTAAATGGTAGCGAGACTACGTATTTTCCGTCTTCTCGTCTACGAGTTGTCTTCCGATAAAGTTCATCACAGTATTTGTCGTCTTCGTTCAAGCTTTTGTTTTTTGATATGTCTTCTAGTTCCCAGAATGCAGTATGCTTGTCCAAAGCAACTTCACTGTGATACGAAACTATATTGTTGGTTGGATTGGGTGCATCTGTGCAAATGGTTAATATCCACCCGAACACGGTTTCTTGGGCGAGAAGTGTACTGAGTACAATTTTCTTCAGGCCGCATAAAATAGTTTGGGGATAAATATCTCCGCCAAGTACGAGGTCTACGTCTTCATTAACGTAGAACCGTTTATCAGCTAGAACAAGACCTGGAAATGCCTGCATAGTCATGGCGCTGATATGACAGGATGGTAGATTTCCAGTTAGTTTTGTTAGGACGAGCACCGTTGCATGCAGGCTGAACAATGGATCAACTGGGTATCGAAGTTCTATGCTGCATGCCTCTTTGACCTGCGCAGAGGTTGCATTCGTAACGCCCGAGACTTGGGCATGCATCCTCTTAGCTGGCAGGTTGATTCTGCGTTTGAGTCGTTCTGTTATGAACGAACACCTCAGAACCAGAATGAATAAGTGCTCGAGCAGTAAAATCTGTGCCATTGAGACGTATATTTACGCGAGCTGTTCCTAGGAGCACACCTGAATTCGTTTAGCATAACAATACTTAACGTTTTTGCTTTTATTGTTATTAGTTCTATTATTAAAGCTGCGCTTTGCTTGAGCCTGTTGAGAGGATGATGCAGTGTTATTGGCAGGTCCAGTCGGCGTGCGAGCCGCTGTTGCCTTTTGCACATTTGTCTGAATATGCAGGAGTGAGTGATGTTGCGAGTGGCACGTGCTGCAATTAAAGGGGCTTGTGCACGGTTTGTGCAGCACTCAAACAATTCAGGCAACTGTTGTTGCTCTTTAAGAAATTAAACCTCTCATCAGGCGTAAGCTTCAAAAATTTGGAACAGCGGCGTAGTTTGTGCTCATTCGTTTTGCACATTGTGCAAGTGAACTTGGTCACGCTTGCTTGGAATGCATCAAGTCTTTTGGTATAGGCTTCTGTAGGGTTTTTGGTGTTTTGCGGCTTTGGCGCTTTAACCGCTTTTGTACTCTTTAACCTGTAAGGGTTTCCAGGGTTTGAAACCTGTTAGATAGGAACGTGTCCATATCTTCCCACTTCGTTAAGTGGTCTATGGTTTGCTCCCATAGAGCCAAAGTACTGTCAGGCAATTTAGTAGAGCAAAGATATACAATAATTGCGTCCCAATTTGAAATGTTAATATGATGACATTGTAGGGATGGCAAACAATTGTTAATATCGCGCTGTAATCTTTTTATTGAGCTACCACTCTCACCATCAACGGAATTAAGATTAAACAGAATTTTTAATTGTGTATTATTGAGGATACGCTTATTTTCGTATCGCTCACACAAATTTTTCCACGCTGTGGCGAAACCTTCATTAGTCATAAGGCACTTATTCACAATGTCTTTGGCTTCACCTCTGGTTTTTTGGTTAAGATAATATAGCTTCTCAACTGGAGTAAGCTCCTGATTCGAGATGTAAATGGCCGTGCGCATATCTTGAAATGTTGGCCAAGACAGATAATCGCCTTTGAAAACATCGGTATCACACGGTGGAAGGTGAATATTGTGTTTTCGCATAGGCTTCTACGCGGAAACGACTGAATGGATTTGCATGAAATTTTTCCAGCAGAGAGCTTATGACGTACAGTGGAAAATAGGCGAATTTTTTGGAAAAGTTGCCACCTGTAAAAAGTTTAATTAAATTACATCCCGTTCTTCTTTTGCTAGTTTCTCAGCCTGAGCAGCCAAAGACGACATGTAATTTACATAACTAGCAAACGCGTCTCTATTTATTTTTCTGTATGTCCTCTTATCTTCTTGTGGAAACTCTTCAGAGGTGTTGAGGGCATCGTAAGCTAGTTTTGTTTTCTCTCACAGAGCTCTGAGTTCTTCCTGCTTCGCAATGACATGCTTATTTTGCTCTGATATTGGCGAAGCAAGAAAGTCGGACTCGAATTCTGCCACTTCTTCCGCTAAGCTCATGAATGAATCCATTGTGAGGTTGAAGATGGGTTTAAACCAACAGAAAGAACAGGAGTTCGTTAAAAATTTAAAAATCTTTTCGAAGATTTGATAATGCTAAAGGCAAATATGTAGCAGATTATTCGAACCTGTTGACATTTTCAAAAAGAAATGGTTTGCCGTTAGATTAAAATACCAAACCGCCAAAGAGTGTAAAATATCTCCACAATTAAAATATTTGTTATTTTTGCAATTCTTTATTTTATTTTTTTTCAGCAAAGGTTATGGATATATGTCAATTTGATACGTGCATGAAAATAAAACTCGCCACCCAACTGTGCACATATATACGTGTAGATATATGTATTTCTAGGGACCAGCAGCGTCCTTATAAACCAATAAAATGTGTGCCGATCAAAAAGCAATAGAGCCCAGATGCAACAAAGTGACTTTGTGAAAGTGATTAACGTAAATTAAAAGGCTAGTTGTGAAAAGACCCCGGTGATTACTTTGAATTAAAAAGGCCAATTAACATGCAAATTGCAAAAGTGAGGTTATGTGTTCACAAACCAATGATAAGTGAATCGTGAAGAGGTTAGTGCAACAAATTGACTACTTCTGTAAAACTAATATAAAAGTGAGTTTAATTTAATGACGGTAGCAAGAAAGTCGGAAATCAAAAAAACTGATGTTGCAACTAATTTTAAAATGGATATAACACTTTTCACTGTCGCGTGTGTGTACACTTTAAATCAATCTTCGCTGTTGCCACTCGAATGTGGAGAATAACATGAACACGATATCACGATATCTGATGCTTTCACAAAATAACTGCTTATAAGGCTATCTCATGCACTCGCGTATTTTTATATTTCGTGATTTGATGTCGTTATTTTTTCACAAAATATGTTTATATTGTGGTAAAGGGCACTGAACCACGTACCTTGCGATTGGTTGGTTTCAATGTTTAGTTGTGGCGGTATATAAGGAGTTGAATGCTGGAAAAGTGTTGTTTGGTGACGAAGAACTTTTAAATTTGTGGCGCAGACGTCCTGTCCTTGTATTATTCGCTGTTGTGGCAGACCCAATTTGGTTGTGGCAAACTGTCTTTGAAAAAGACGGTGGACTGTATTTCTGTGGTTTCGCTGGTATTCCAATGATCACACGGTCCCAAAATGGCGCTGGCAATATTTTATGGTAAGCTAAGTCGGACGGCTCCGAATGGACCAAATGTTTATACGGGGGCGTTTGGGAATAACGCTGTGGAAATAAGTGGCCTGGTAGCTGATGTGCTCGCGCTGATCTTCTAAACCGAAGTGAAGTAAAAGGTTTACGAGACCTTAACTCGGACCGCCGCACAGTAACTGACGTTAAGAGGAAACTTATTGAAAGTTCATTATCCGGCGGGATATTATAGTTAACCGCGCGTATTAATACATGTACGTATGTATGTGTTTGTGTATACACATAGCCATATGCTTGTACAGACGTACATATGCTGGCATTAGGGCTGTTCGAAAACAAGTATTATTCAGGCTGAAGACCTAAAATATTACCGTAAGCTGTCAATGTATAAATAACTAAATAAATGCGCATAAATAAATAGTCAAATAATTACAGATGTAATCAAGTATATAGAAATAAATGAATAAATAAATAAATAGATGTGTATAAATAAATAGTCAAATAA